AAAATATATTTGCAGATGTATTGTAAACTTGACATTTTTCCTCAACTCAGTGTCAGTAGTCACGTTCATGCCAAGTTTCAGCTTTCCATGTTTCTCCGTTTGACTGAAGCAAAAAGAGATTATTTGAAAGCATTTCCACCCAATAGGTGTGCCCCCAGGTCATTAACCTCTAAAGTCGGAATTTCTCTGGACTCTGTATCCCAATAGGTACTTATGTACCGAGTTTCATCCTTCCGTCTTATTTAGAACAAGGTTATAATTAGCGTCAGTCACTCACAATCGTCTATATATGTTAGATATTCACCTCATCCAACCATCCAACCTTGAAATAAATAGTAGCTGTTATTGGCTCGGCATAGGCCTATTTGAAAAGGCCTGGACAACTGGACATGTTCTTGATGGTCCGCGCGTTCGCGTCGCGTGGAGACAGGACAGTATGAAGTGTAGGATGCCAGATACGGCATTTCACGCATACGCCTAACAACCCTGTCTACACGGCCGGGAGCAGCCGCTCTCCTCCATTGTCTGTAATGAATCCGTCAACCTCCAGGGCTGGAAGGGAAGTGGATGTTTTCGTGGAAGACGGGCAACCCGACCCAGGCGGAAAGCTGTGCGTACGCATTGGGTTATGTTGTCCGGTCGCTATGGTTACTGCGGACAGACGGAATGAAAAAAAAAGTGACAGACCGACCGTAATATCTGGCATTTCCATATTACCTATGGAAATGCATAATAAATAAAAGAAACAGATATTGATATAAATAAATTGCACGAAGAGGCTAAACATGGATAAATAAGAAATTAAAAAAACGGGGGAGAAAGAAATTCGCTTTCCCCCCCCCCAAAAAAAAAAATTTGTTCTTCTTATTATGAATTTCGGTCTCATAACCGGAATCGATAAAATATCAAATGGCCCCCAAAATTCCCAATGTCACACGTTGCGGACGAAGGACCATGCGTAAATATGCGGAAAAATGCCCACAGAAAAGAGCCTGCAAAGTGCGTAAAATTGTCCGCTTAAGTAGTATTTCCAAATACCTCTTGCGGCTTCCCAGCAAACAAATTGAAACATTTAACGTTGAATCAACGTTGAATCAATATTGAATTAACGTTCGGGTAGTGGATACAACGTTGGTCCAACGTAGCCTTGTTTGCTGGGTTCTTTTTATGTTTGGCCAAACAAATGCATAATATATTTCACAATAAATATATAACAAGATCAACAATCATCAACGTAATGTAACATGAACATAAATATGAAAGTTCCAAAAGAAATATATCCCAGAACGTTTCAAAGCTGGATCGATTGAAGTAGGATTTTTCCAGAAATTCACAGGAAAATGTCGGAAACAGGTCACTTTAGATCGGAGTCAGGTATGTGGAATTACGCCGCTAATTCGCCCATGCTCGGGACTCAATTCGATGACAATGGAGTAATTGAACTGTGACATGGGAGTGCTCGGTCGCCTGCAATTATTTTGGTATTGATCCTGGGGAAGGCTGTGAGGTCTCCCCTGCAAAGGATCGCGTGAGAATATCTTTAAACAGGATTGAAGGTAAGCCCCAAGTCAGCTCTTGATCGACATTCGCCTCGTGCCCCCTATGGGGTATGGGGAATAGAGCAAGATGCTGTTTCCCAGAGCATTTGCAAATGGATAATTTATAATTATGATGTATTGTGGCAGTTCATTTCACTTCAATTAAGCATGGAGCTCATCACAAACCAGAAAGGCGAGCTAAAAGTCATATTCGAAGACTTCAGATACGTGAAGCAATCAAATTAATAATAAATAAAACCATGAAACATTGGGAAATATTGCTCAAGAGAGCGATTTTTACGTACATTGCAGGCATTGGTGTTTATTCTGTAGGCATTTTTTCTGTGGGCGTTTTTTTCGGAGCACTCCATACATGGTATAGATAGGAAATTTGCTAGAGGTCGTATCCATAATGTGCGGGTGATAAAGCAAAAATTTCAATGGATTTGGTCAATAATGGTTTTTAATAATAATATTTTTCTAATTCAATAAGAGTCTTTCTCCCGCTCGATGTCAAAATAGCAAATGGCGCGCGTGCCCTGGCTTCTTTCTCTGTGCTCGATGAATCTTGCTCCGCCCCAGTTCGTCTTAATCCTAACGCCCACAGATGATTGAGCGGAACGCATTTTTTCTCTCGCGAGTCTCAAGGCAACTTTTCTCAAGATCCAGCAGCATTGGCAATCGCAGCATGAAGTCATCCGAAAGCACGAAGTTCGAAGGCTGCAGGATCGCAGATTGAATGCTGGACGACCGACGCATGCCCCCCTTCTGATCGGTCGCCACCGTCGGGCCGTCGGGATCGCCTTGTCCATAAAAAATCTCATTAGCCGTCGATAGAGAAGGAATGGGATTCAACGGTTTTCGTGGATGAGAGCCTCACGTGGGAGAACGACATCAGGGACTGGATTGGAAGGCGTTCAAGCGATGCCTATCTCTTTGCATGTTTCGGATAAAATGCCCAATTTTAGAGGTGGGAGGAAGGGGGACGTGTTATTGCGGGAAATGCTTTTTTTTCCCCGTTTCTTTCTATTTTGTCCTCCGAAGGTGATAGGTCGGTGACAAGGAGCGCATTCGCATTCAGGTCAACTTCCTCATTCCATTAGCTGACTTCCTAAGATATTAGAGTAACTTCATTTTGCAAGACGACGATGCCAGCTGCCACAGGCCCAGGGTAGCAATAATGGAGGAATGGAAGTAAGAAAATAACGTTATGGACTTTCTTGGCCTACGCCAGGTCCAGACCTTGATTTCATTAGGCATCTGTGGGATGATCTCGAATGGCCCCAGCGACTGACCGCACTGTTTCCACCAATACCCAATTGACAGCCCTTCGGCTCCTATTAGATGAAACGGAACCGGCCACATTGGATAAAGGCAGTTTTGAATATAAAAAGCAACTGAATCCCACATGCTGCTCCGAACACTCGAAATGCAGTTATTTTTGATGCTGCAGATTCAAAGAACTCGCCATGACTCAATATGCCAATTTAGACGAACTATACAATTACAAACTAATGATATGTTGCCAAGGCGACTCGAAAAGTCCTTTCTTCCCTTCAATCACCAATATTTTCGTACTCAGTATTTTCCGAAAGGAAATATGAGTGACTGCAATACAAGCTGTGACTAAATTCTGCATTCATCGTCCTATTTGCCATCAGCGCATGTGATGGGAAAAGTCTTTATGGGGTTAAAATCGTTGTGTTGGGAGTATCCATGCGCATGTGAAAAAGATAAAAAAATTTCTTTGGACCAGGCCTGCGCTTTCTTTGTCTGAGATCGCGAACAGATGCACAGACACATGTTAGGAAGTCGTTTTCCATGCGAGTTAGGATATACCACGGAAAATTTCTCGATGTTGGTTGGTTTGCAGAGTTTCCAGCGTTGCATACTGGAATACCAACAAGTAGTGGATGAACTGGTTAATATGCATCTTCTACACAGACAACCTTTTTGAAAACAATGAAGGTGGTTTTTGGAATAGTAACTTCACCGTTATCTTACCATGTTGTCTCACCTTCAAAATGTCTGTGGGACTTCGTCTCTTCTCTGCGCCGTGGCGAGTGAAGAAACTGTTAACAGAAACTACTGCAGATCGACCTGCAGCTCTGAACTTTCCGCTGCCTTTCTCCATCTTCCTCTGGTCATTCTGGGCTTCGCGCAGAATAAAGCGATTCTGAGAAGAGATGCAGCCTGTTGCGATCGTGTCGGCCGATAGACACACACTGTACATGTGTATCTTCTAATTAGTGAGGATGCAAGTACCCCTTCAATCCTCATCTGGACGGTCACCATCGCATCGAAGTCTTGTTATAGAATGAATTTCAACAGACATAAATAAAACTCAGGGATAACTTAAAATTAGCAGTAAGAGAAAATACAATTAGTAATCAGATGCAGAGGGCGTCGTTGAGGTCCAAGAGATTGCGTAGTCCAATCCAAGAGAGAGCACTAATGAATCTAAAGAACACTAAAGAACATCGGGGGAAAAAACTAATTAGCTTTTTTATTTAATTAATCAATTAGCACGTAATATATATTTTTTGCAAGCCGACAGACCGTGCCAGTTAATACGAGACCACTCTCATCTTCATATGATCTCTTCTTCATAGTTACGTAATTCGGTTAACTGCGTGGAATGACTAGATCGGGATTTGTGGAAGTCTTAGAAGATTTATTGTAAAAGGGCCTTCGCTGCGGCGCAGAGAGGAGACGAAGTCACACGGACACCCTTTGAAGGTAAAATAACGGTGAAATTATGAGTCCAAAAACCAGCCTCATTGCCTTGTTAAATTGCCTTCAAAGGTCGTCTTTGTATGTAGTCCTTATTTGCTCACCTCTTGCAGAGGGCAGTCAATGGGCTAGCACAGCCATGTGGAGTCAATGTTGGAATGATGGAAGCCCCCATGTGCGATGTGGTTCCTATGTTGGTTCTCAACATTGGAGCCTTGTAGGCTTTTCCCTCGGCTTCATGTTGTCAGCAATCAAGGTGAGGCAAGTCTATTGATCAGTCGTCGATTCCGATCGACAACAGGAAATAGAAAGAATTCATGGAGTCCTTCTAAGAAGAACCATATACGCAGCAGGGACATACAAATCAATACTTGATACCACTGCGTCAATTTGCGCACATCCTATGCATACTTAGTTGCTTTCATGCGATTCAGACCCGAAAAAAAAGTCTTGAAGTAGCTCGCACTGTGATAGATATGCAAACAAAATTTGGGAGATGAATGGTCCATCCTGGACTATCTTCCCTATCTTCCTTTGAGTGCTTCCATTGAACGAATTCCATAGAGCGGTGGAGGTTTGGAAATTTCGTGTTGGTGAGTGAGAGAGAAATCGTGAATAATGGAGAAAGCCCAGAGCTTGGTTTCCTATTCTCTTTGGGAAAGCGCATGGCAGGGAAAGGATGAAGAGCATACCCAGGCATGGATCTGGGGAGAACTTGCCATTCCCCATCCTAGGACGACTCAGTTCTCTCCTCGTTCTCTCTCATTCTCTCTCTTCGCTCATTGTCTTAGCCGTGTTTCTCTCTATCTCTGCGTGCCAAATCTCCTCTACCGCCTGGTCATTTCTTCTTGTTGATGGCCTGCCAACCCTCTTCTAAGTGGTTCTTCTCCATCCTGTACAGGTGGGATTCCTTTCTCAGATTTCTCTACTAGTTTTCCACCCCGTAGAGGTTAGAACAACATCGCCGAAACTTATTTCCTTTTAAGATAGGATCAGACCAGCCTTTATGTGAAATAAAAATTGTCAGAATTCTTGGGTAAAACTTACTAAGTATTGGGTATTTGGTATGCAGATTCCTCCCTTCCACAATGAAAGGAAATTTCCTATTATAAAAACAGGACGTCGAAATTTGCAAGATTCATGGAATAATCGACTCATTCGTTATGATGCAGAAAATGTACCCAAGTTTCCGTTCTAATCTGGCCAACTGAAGATGTCAAAGGTGTTATGATAGGCCTAACCATGCCTGTGAAGGCATTCACTTCCAGACCAGACTTTAAGGAAGAGTTTCTAGTATTTGTTGCTCCATTTAGAGATCCAAACACATCGCCCTTGAGATCCCGTAATAATGTTCCTAACTAAACCGATCTTCCGAGGCTTGGGGAAGTAAATGAAAATTAATGGCGAGCCGTCAACAATCATCGATCTCCTTTGCTCTCTCTTTTCCACTCCCATACGGTATAGTTCTCTCTCCGTTTTCTTTCCGATTGCAGCGAACGCACGCAGAAAGGAATACGGCTGTGACAGAGGGAAGGGATTCTGTATAACGAATCTCGTGATATATCAATCAGGGAAGGATCTCATGAGACAGGAGAGGAGATGAGTCATGCTTATCAATCTCGTGCAGGTATATCAACCTTGAAGAGTCGACCCGGGATAGGTTGGATGAGGTTATCGATCCCATTCCATTTTGACCTCCTATGGAACACCGTCAAAGGCTTCCTTTTCACTCACATTTTCATCTTCCCATCTCTTTTACGACCAGCTTCTCTCATATATTTTCCACGAACCAGACCTTGACTGGCTCTGACGTTTCCCTTCGATAGGGCGCCGTTGCCAAGAGTTTCCTCATGTGGGAGCGTCAAAAGCTTTCAAGCCGCAGACACGAAATATGAAATTCTCTTTGAGAAGAAGCTTCAAGGGCACAAAGTTGGAACCAATCTGGCGTACCTGGAATGTAAACAATGAGATCACGGCGTGTTTCCTCGTGTCATCAGCGTCTCGGCAGGGGGCGAATAACAAAACCCCCTTCTGGGGCGGACGTGGGGCCTGGAATAAGCCTTCTGCTTATAGAGGAATTCCAGGGGATTTCTACTGGCATGTACGGGATCTCTAAAAAGTAACACTACAGCATTAGATTTTCCTTGAATTATGCCATTATTTTTGCCGATAAAATATTGAGTTCTTTTGCTAGAAATTGCGAGAAAGTCGATCTATTCTGATAGCGAGATACAGAAGAGTGAAAATGAAACTCAAATAATTACACTCACAAGCACCATGGTGCTGAAGGACCCATTTAGAGTGTGTTCCTTCGCAACATCAACATACCTTCAGACGCTTTACTAAACTCTCGAAGCCTGAGCACGGATTTGTGAGACTTGGTGAAATGTTACTGATGAAAGTATAACAAGCAGAAATGCACTGCAGAATTTCCCGTTTTGACAGGTAACTTATTGATCACTTTGCTTGCATCCTGGGATTCTCGACTCATGGTGGTTCCCTATCGTCACTGTACTCTCCTGATTTCGATTTTCATGCAGTTTTCTGCGGAAGAATGCTTAATCTTTCTTTTATTTTACTATATCATCAATTTTTCATTTCGGTATTATGTAATAAGAGAAAACTCAATTCTTGTGACGGTAATTATTTTGCGAAAGCCAGTACTTGCAAAGGAGAAGCGTTTCACATGAACACGATCAATCCTGAACTTTTGGCAGTCCACTTCCATGGCATGCTCTCACTGTGGCTAAGTTCAAATCCAATTTTTATTTTTTATTTTTCAAGTGACAGCTTGGCCATGATCTCGCTACGTTCTGCTGAGACCAAAGCAGATTGCGCTGAAAAATTATTCTGATTATTATTATTATGCTCACCACAGACGTAGACCACATAGATGAGGTTTGGCCCATTTACCCAATTTGGTCCAATTGTATGGGTATCGATTAACAAATTGACCTTACTCTAAATAACGAAGTATGAACATCGACCAAACAGAAGAAATATGAACCAAGATGGACGCCCCGATGAAAGGATGCTGAAAGTTGCTCTGATGTCCCATATGAAGTCGTATTGAACTGCATTATCCACAAAAATGCTATGTTGTGATTAGTTCCGACCTCGAAGGAAAAGCGAAATTCACTCGCAGCAGCTGGTAGATCAGAAACACTACCAAAATAAGTTCGAAGTGTCTTCGAAGTTGCGAATCAATATGAACATTTTGGGGTGCCGAATCTTGAGACGCGTTCGTATTTATCTTCTGAAGTACAGGTATTTGTTAAACATTTTAGTAGTGCATGAATATTATGGCATTTATGTCACGTTCAATCACGTGTGCGCCCGTGTAATTATGGCACAAGAAAAAGTAAGATTTTTCCTTCAGTGTTTGAAGATGCAAGTTTCGATCTACACGTTTTCGTCGAATCGCTTCGGTAACAGACCCCGCAAGAATGCCAATGTTGTCCCATTCTTGCCACGCTCAAAGACTCAAAAATAGCTTGAGCACGTGAGCCTTCCTGTGTGAAACAGACCTCCTGTGCAAGGCAGAAGGAAAGGACAAAAGAAAATACCCCTTCGATTTTCCCGCAATGATGGATGACCGTTTACTCTTCCTTCGTGTAGGTCCTTGGTTCATAAATCAGATGGAGGGGAAGAAGTTCTGCCAGCACCGTGAAGATGCTCTGCTCGCACCGTGAAGACGGATCGGATTGAAAGAAGACAAACTGTACATTCCCCAAAAGTGAGTCCGGTCGAATTTTTTTTTAATGACTCATCATCCTGGGTGATACGTCGAGGACCAGTTTTCCCAATCAACGATTCATCTTCGTCCACTCGAGCACGATTCTCAGGGAGTTGCGCTTCATTATTGTCGACCATTCGTTCCGCCTCGCATATATCGATTCGGTTGACAAGTTTTCAGCCTTTCCGGTCTGGCTGGCAGAATAGGAATTTTTTCCCTCTCATTGGAGTAGATGACGGAAAAGTGCAGGCATAAAGACGTCATCGTTGCCAATGCAGATCCAGTTGGCAGGGTCCTCCATAAACAGGAAACACATGATAAAGGGAGGAATTCTTTCCCAGAATCCTCTCTTTCATCTTCATCTTTGTATCTTCACTCTCTCTCCCTCTCTCTTCAGCTCTTTCCCTGGCTATGATAAGAATAATGGGGGCACCCACATGCGGGAGTTGTCTACAGTAATAGAGACAAAAGTTGGTGCGTAATAAGGCAGAATGAAAGCAACGTACTTTCTGCTTACGTCGCAGGCGATGGAATAGCATTAAGAACTCGAGGTTTCCGTTTTGGGTTCGGGGTTTCATTCTTACAGACGACTTTGAGGGGTTTCATCCTTCCACAATATGGACTTGGGCACGAGATGTGACGTGTCTGCCCCATTTCAGATTATGACGAGGCTTGGGCACGCGAAATAACGGACAGATGAAAGGTTCCACGAATAGAATCCATATCAAAATGATACATAAAAGGAAAAAAAGTCTCTTATCGATGACTCCCGCTACCTCCGTTGACGCATAATATAGAAGTAATCCTGTGCGGTCTGGTATTTACGAAATGAATGCCATCAGCGAACTCGTAATTAGGTGTCTCTGCTGGACGATGGCTCGCAGCGGGGCATCCCATATTGCGACGTGGTAATCTTGCGCATGGAGAGGACTAGAAGTAGGGGGAAATCCCGGGGAACGATGGCACAGAAGAGGGACGATGGGCTGAGCCTCCTCTAAGGGCTCAGAGATTGAGGCCCTTCATTGATGGCCATTCATCAAAAGAGGAAGGACAAGAATGAACGAGGGGGGCGAAGGGAAATTAATGATGATCTGAAGCACGTAGTGCTGGGAATTTTGTGCTATTCGGAAGCCGAGGATGACCTTTTCCCTCAGAACAGAAAAAACTTGACCGAAAGCATTCTCATTCCTCTTCGTGAGCCTACGGCATAGAGTTGTATGCAGTACATTACCTTCGATGTCCTGGTTCAAAGCCCCGCGTCACCAAGCGTATAAAAGGATGCGGATGCTCTCAAATCTCATGCATAATGGAAGTCTGTCACTGCGCTCTCTTCCCACTACATATCCAGGAGCAAAAAAAAAGCTCTCTAAAACAGGAGACTCGTAGCCCTTGCTTTCTCTTTACCTTGTGTCGCCTAGTCGGCTGCTTGATGGAATCTGCATGTCATTGGGGCTCCCACAAAGAACGTGATGGCCAGGCCCCTTACGAAGCCTCCTTCACTCCGTTAAGACCGAGATTGCAGCTGGGTGATCCTTATGGTGTATTTTTTTGTCGTTTTTAGGTGTTCCTGTCAGGCATTTTGACTGGTGAATTCAACTTTCAAAGCCCCTGCGTTCCAACAGTCAAGGGGAACGATTTCGCACTATTTCTCAAGGTTTGTCATTCTCGACAAGACACTGTAAAGGTATCAAACGTTCAATGTCGAAATGCCGATGCTTCCGAGTCATGCGAGATTTCAAATCTTGCAATAACGCTCGTGGAGAAAAAAATAAGTACCGATCATGTAGCTCATTTCAATATCGCGAGGGCGAGAGGTGGAGTACGTAGGAGTCAGTCAGTTGCAAACATCTCCGTGCCAAGCCTGAGGGCATTTCCGTTTTTCCAATTTTTTTCTATCCCGTGGCTCTCCTTCCATTTATCTATATCCCTAAATCCCTTCCTAACTCAGAAGTTTTCTTATCGTTGTGGTACGATCGCAGAAATTCGAGGAATAGGTTGCGGGTTCCATCTCCTCCTATTTTTTTCCTCGTCCCTGACGCGTGCTTAGGGTAGATTTAAAATTTTTTCGACTGTTGATTTCCTTTGCGCTGCAAGGCCATTGAAGGCGGATCGAACCATTTCTAATATTTCTAGTTTGGACCATCCTGGTTGCTCTACGAGATCTTGCTTTGAACCTAAAATTTAAAACCTTGAACATAAACTTCATCATCTTATCCCGATGGTTAATAAAAGGGATTTGCTACTATTTCGTTATCAAGGTGTCTCACCCTCGAGAATTGATTATCAAAAACGAAACATAACTTCTGATGTTCACAGGGCTGCATTTCCACTAATGGCAGGCAAGCCAGATGAGAAAAATATAGAATGCCGAAAGCTTCCTCATAAGAGGAGCCTCTAAGAAAGGTTGACTTACTTTCAAAATTCGTCTTAGATAGCATGCTTCAGTAAATCTTCTCAGGGATGGGAAACTGCCTTTGAGACATCTCTCATGGAGATGTCTCAGGGGTATCATTCTGCATGAAGGAATAGGCGCTCATGGATCTAACAAATTCAGCCTCTATTCCTTGAAATTTTCTTAAATCGCAGGATATGAAGTAGCTCTTCAGTTTCAAATTTTCATGCGATGATCGCAAGGCGAATACTCCTCGGTACCTGCAATGTTGCGCACAGTCAAAACTAACAAAACTAACAAAACTAACTAACAAAAGCGCTATGGCTCAAAACGTCGGAAGCTTGTCACTTAGGCTTTTTCAGGATGATTGTGAGCTGGAATCGATAATGTGGATGGAAAAGGAAGGGACAGTTGAAAGAATTTTCCCTTCTGCATTGCTTTTTCCTCTGCAGATGGAGTCGGAAGTCCGGTCGACCAGCATCCGGCGGAAGCTCAGTCTCAAAGGCCTGCGTCGGGTAAGAACTCTTGTCCCGTATCTATTCCTCCTCCTCCACATCTTCCTTCGTTTATCGAGCCTCCTCTGAAAAACACATATTTCGTTCTTCATAAATAATCGGAGACGATTTGGAAACGACGTCGCCCATCAGATCGAATGTCATTAGCATGAGGAACGAACTCTGGAATAGCCCAGTTTCATGAATCGATGAACTTTAATGATTGCACTTGGCTGGATCTTCCATATACCGTATGTGCGCATTCCCTCCGGATATTAGGAATGACGGAGCCTGAGGGGTGCAAATCTATCCTCCAGTGATGAGAATTACCCCCTCTAATGGAAACTTCCTGTTGATTATCGACCTGAAAAGGACTTAACCGCATCTCCACTTCTTGAGGGAATTAGGTGCATTTCATATCATCGTGAATGGAAACATGGCAAGTGTTGCAAGGCGTCAGCTGTGTGGGACATGCAAATCTTCTTAGAAGATCACAGTGGTGAATATGCATGGGGATCTGGCCCTTGCGCGGGGATCATGTTTTAAGAGTATATGGAAAAGAGTTTGGCGAGTGGGTAGAAGTTGCATCCTCTGAGAGGAATGACAATGATGCCTCAAAGCTCAGGAATGACGAGATTTTATCAGATTAAAAGCAGCATGTATTTTCCATAGACCTTCAAAGGGAGGAACTACCTTCAGCCAATGGCTTGGAAGCCTTTCATCATGTATCAGATGAGTCGTAAAATTTGCAACTCATCGTTCCCTGATGCTATTCAATTATTCAGGGAGGTGGGAGTCTTCGAGGCGGTCGCGGAACCCCGAGCTGTGTGGAATCCGAGTTTGAAGTCTCCACTCCTCCCAGGAAATCCAATTGGGAGGTCATCGAACATTATTCCGGTCTCCAGCGATCCAGGTCAGCTGCACTCCAGTTTTCCCAAAAGTAATGCTATTCCAAACATCAAGAGGTAGAGGAGGTGAGAGAGACTTTAGAACTGCCGAAGTCAATCATACGGCACAAAACGTGACTTCTGACAAGAGCTGCGTCGCAAGTATTGGTTTGACTTAAATGTTACGTTATAAAGTACAAGTATAGCGAAGGTTCAGCCGATATTTAGGCGTAATTGTCTATTAATAGTATCTTATATATAATTAACATATAAATAACCACGAAAATGAGTTTTTCAATATGTTCAATGATATTAACATTTCTAATTAATATTTAAGCAGAACTCAAGGGTAACGTAACTGCAAGTCATCAGTTACAAAGCTCTGCGTCGCGACGAATCTGACGAAAATACCAGCAAATTTAACTAATCACCATCAGCAAAGGATACGGGTTCCTCTCCACACCCGACAAAAGAGAAGTCGCTTGCCAGGCGTAAAAAATTCATTAAACAAGTTTCCTAAGTCCGAGATGATTTAGAAAACGCCAGAAACAGTGCCTCTCGAACTAGCTGCAGATTGAGCTGACGTTAATGGATAAACCTATAATTGAGTGAATTTATTGGGAATAAACTGGGAAATGCTAAACAGGATACTGTTTTTTTACTGATACTGGAATTTAAAATGCTAATGCGGTGCTTTGCACTAGAATTTATACTCTCGATTCGTAGATACTGAGTTCTATCGTTGAAATGGTAGCAAGGCAGAGAGCTATATGATAATCAGTGTTAAATAAGAGAGGAAAAAGCATATATACCCGACAAAAACGCCATAGAATGAGTGATATTTCAGATACTCTGTGCTTCCATGGGATAGCAGAAGTCGCTATCGATCTGAACCAGAAATGAATGCACCGTAAAATCAGGCTAATGTCTTTCCCGGTATGGGGAAAAAGGGGTTATGTTGGGCTGGTATTCCTTTTCTCTATTAGCGTCGACTTCATTCCCTTCTTCTCTGGCACCAAATAATTATATTTTCTCGACGCGAGCATCAACTTTATGACCCATACATCATCTCTCATCCTAAAGAGCCGTTATTAAGAAGAAATCCCTTCTCTTTAATAAAAAACAGTGACGGGCGGGTCCAGTCGAGAGCCTTTCATTCATCATTTAGTGAGAATAATTCTTTAGCGTCAACAGTTTAGATAAGGTAATGGTCTATGTTACAAATAGATAACAGGCTACAGCTAGTCAACCATGAGAATCCTAGGGGTACATAGTGCTGTAAAACTATTTCGTATAACGGACCACTCGAGGAGTTCATTAACTCTTGTCAGGGAGGATTGAGATACTAACGACCTCATTCTCTCCTCACTGTTTCCATCATAGAGGAGGGAGGGTTGATTAATTCCTCAAAGACGAAATTCCAACTGTCGCCTGAATGGATTTTCTTTCCTCTTCACGAAGGAAAGGGTTGCATACTGTGGTTAAGTCTTCTTGTACATACCGTCTCCCGGAGAACGTTGAATGATGAACTACTAGGAACGACAAATACGGTACATCTCTGTTCTCGTAGCATTTTGAGAACAGGCGTCTGAACGCAGACGATCAAAATTTGCAGAGAGGTCAGTAGAAAGGGATTAATCCAGCCGTCTTTCGAGTGTTTGACCGAGTGTTTGAAGGGCTATCATTGTGAGATGTCTCCCCGGAGAGCTAAGGCCAACGACCTAATGATAGGAACGATGCGCCACGTTTAGAAGGGACAACCCGAGAAAATCTGTGCGTCGGCCTTCCCAGTCTCTTCACATACCCTTTAATGGACTCACGCCTTCATGTCTTTTACGTGTTGTCATCTCGGGAAGAGGATGAGGAAGGTCACGATCGCATTGAAGGAGGTCCTATCACCCATCTCAATGACTTTTCGCAGAATATGGCTTCCGAAGGATAACTAACCTGCAGACGCGGACTTCAACAGTTGCTTTCTATTTCGCATACATCGCAAGGAATCGAAGTTTGACTGTTCGCCTCTTAACGAATGATGGAGACGTACAGTGTGGCAAAATGGTATGCAGAACTCATTTCAACTTACAACGGTCCTTCAGAAAGTAGGTCCGCTTTGTTTTTTATTTTCAAGGAAATAACAGCGGAACAGTAGCACAGAACAGTAGAACAGTAGACCATCGAGATTCAAGATTCAAGGTTTAGGGATGGGAAGAAGCAGTTCTGCCCACGTCCCGTGTCGAGGTCGAGCGCTCATTTAAACCTGAGGTAGGCCTACCCCTTTTAAAGGTACTGTATATATTTTTGTGGGAGCATATCTAGGCCTAGTCGCCTAATGCATACTCTACCTAATGCCTATTCTCTTACATCCACTGCTCCCTTTTTTGTTGTTCATGGACTGCATCTAACCTCTTAAAGGTAGCCACGGAAGGGGCAGCCACTACATCGTCGCTTGACGCATCCACATATTCACTACCCTACTAGTAAAAAAGTTCTGACGCAACTTGAGGCGCACTTTTGGTTTACACGATTTAAGTTGATTTTCTCTCATTCTGCTACTATCATCGAACTGGAGAAAGCTCCCACGCTCAATGTGTTTACTTCTTTAAAGTTTTAAAAGCCTGGATGAGATTCCCCCTCATCAACCTTCTCTCGAGCGAGTACAGCCTCTAAACGCCTCTCTTACGGAAGTCTCATAACCTCCTTGATCTTTCTTGTTGCCAGGCTCTGGACCCTCTCGAGCGCCGTTAACTCACTTTTATTTGTAGGCCTCCAAAATTGAACGCAATACTCTGAATGAGGTCTCACCAGCACCGCATACAACGGAAGAATAATGTGCAAACTCTTATTGGCTATGGAACGAGATGTTTCATGTTTCAGCGTTAAGTTCACCAACTTTCATATAGATGCCCCTGCTAGTTGTGTAAATTGACCGTCGTTCTCAGCTGCCGTGGTTCAACTGCACGTAACGATGAATCACCGAGCTATAAGGCAAATTGCTGTTGTCAAAGTCTTGCTGAATGGAGATCCCAGAGAGGGTCGGAAAATGCTTGGAGATGATGTCTCGTCAAGGAAAGCAGTTAGCAACTGGAAAGAACGTTCTGTTGGTAGTAACTGTAATATATGAAGTGCAGAAGCCAAAATGCTGACATGGGGCCCAGAGGAATTTGATCTCCGTCTCTAGGGCATATGATGGCGAGAGAGGTTCATTTTCTGCTTCCTTGCTTCTTCATCAGGAGAAACGAATCATCCTATAACGTCATCTCTCTCTCTCTCTCTCTGCCCGGTCGAGGCTCGCATCTCTTTTCTCTCTCTCCTTTCCTTATAATCTCAAGATATGTAAGCATCAAAGCCTTCTATATTAATCCCATCCGATAAGAAGACGACTTAAAACCGATTTGCTTCCAGGAATTTTCGTTTTCTTGGAATAAACATGGATACTCTGATTCACTGGAAAATAATGTTTAATTCATAATGAGACATCAAAAGCAAAATGTTCTTTTGGAGCAGTAGCTTGAGACGTCCGGAACCGGTGAAAGAAGTGGAAGTGGAGTCCATTCTGATTCCGATCAAGAAATGGTGGCACGTCCAATCTTTAATGAAACGCGTCTTCAAATCGCACCGATTCAGGAACCTCGAAGTGAGCATGTCTTCGGAATCAACACCATTAATGGCATGAATTGAAATGAAAAAAAAAATTATGTTTAGGTCGAAGCCCTGTACCAGAAGTACTTCCTGAGAATGAACCAGCGAAGCCTGGCGGCATTAGTGGGCCTGCTTCTCATCTCGGACCTAATCTTCATGGGCCTGACCTATTGGTTGGGATGGGAAGATGTGATGACCCACATCATTGTCATGGGTGCACATGGCACCGTTTATCTTATTTTGGCTGCCCTCTTGACCCACCAATCCAAGAGTGAAACTCTCCTTACCCTCTATTCATACATTCTCCTGGCTTCTTGCTTCACCTTCCAAGTGAGTTTCGGTCTATCCGATGATCGATATCCTATACGGAATCTCGTTAACCAAGTTTTTCGAACCTCTTAAGCCCCTCTAGAATGAATTTATATCCCTTCGAAACTTTTCAATAACCCAGCGCAAAGTTCACTGGTTCTTGATGGGAATGCCAACTGACCCTGCCGTCATGGGGAGTGGATAGGAAGAAAAAAGAGGAAGGAAGATATCGATTCATCGCTCTAGACATTGCTCCGACCTCTGAGATGCGTATTCATCCGCTGCGTCCTGGCGTGGGCGTCCCCATGAGGGGGAGATATTCATATGTCTCCAGCAATGTTTCATTTATCTCACTTCTTTGCGATAGGAAAAACATTCTCGAGGGAGCACTTGGATACTTTTTCTTCCTTCTACCATGACAACTTTTTCTCTGTCCTGTATTTCAACTCCAAATCTGGATCCTGGAACCGGAAAATATATTCTCCAATTGGCTTGCTTAAGCTAAGCCCTCGTTCATGCCGCAATATACTTTCTCGTCATACCTGTGATATGCGCGTGATGCTGTTGCTCCTTGCTTTTAATGCCGTAATAATCTTCGAGGATGTTATATACTTCAGATGTGAAAGGGATCACAACAAAGCCGATTAGTTATAGCTATCCATCAAATGAAGTTATAAGTTATCACGTAGTGTTCAATGTCTCAATGAAGGCACAAGGCTACAGTTTTGTAAGGACATAAGTATTTTTACAAAATTTGACAGGATGCTTTAGTATTCATTTTTTTTTGGATTTAAGGTCATGAATGCATTGGATCCATGGAGCCATCCCCCCATGCAAGGGATCTGGTTGGCCATGCTCTTCACGCATTTGATCTACGCCCTTCTGCCCCTTCACATTCAAGAGGCAGTTGTGAGTGGGATCATACTAACCTCCTGCAAAATCATCCCTCATTTCACTCACTCCCGCCCCGTCAATTGGAAACAGGTACGAGTCACGATTAACAACTTTTGCAAAAGGAATGCCATATTCAATTCTATTTTTCCCTTCTTTTTTTCTCACTCCCTTCCCTTCTCATGGGTAATGATTCCTGTCACACGCTCCATTATATGGATCATAGATCAAGTAAGACAAAAGAGGAAGAAGTCCACAACGGGGCGTAGGACCAAGAAGTGGCCTATCTCTCCACCCTTCTTTATTCTGGGTTACGCCCAGGACTCATTATCCAAAGGAAGGGTTTTGTCACAGATGGATGAGGCGATCCCTAGACACTTCTCGCCAATTCTCCTTTCTGTTTCTGACGATTTCTTTCTCCCTCCCGTTTCCCACCCTCTTTATCCGAGGCGACGGAGAGAATCAATCGATGGAGCTGGAATCTATTTCCGTTGTCACAGGAGCAGAACCCAATTTTCCGACTCGATAACCAGAGGGGTATCAGGTCTGGGGGTCTCTCCTGAGCACTAATCCCAGACCCGTCCAAGCATCTTGCCCTTCCCCATTCTCATTCGCATGGGACTCTCAGTCGAAAACCTCTCGAGAGGCATCTTGTTTCTTAGCGGAGCATAAAAACTCCTGTATGCTTCTGAGTGATCAGAACCTGTTCAATGGAGGAATGTAGACCTTATCAAAAGTTTACTGTGCAGCCATTGAACCGTGGGCGAAGAAGATGAGTTCGCATGGAAAATGCATTTTCAGGAAGATTGCAGTGAGGCCACTGACGGATCGATTTTTCCCTAAGCCGAGGGAAGAACCACGCGAAGGATGAAGGAAGGATGAAGTAGAATCCTGCATTCATGGTCATGGATAACGCATTCGCAGCATGCAGGATTCTACAGAAGTAGAATCCTGCGTAGTAGTAAAGTAGAATTCTGCTGTTGAAATGCTGCAACGTACTAGTATGTTGTGTAATTAACACTTTTTCATACTTTTTTAATGCCTTTTTTTTGTCTCCAAGGGTAGTTTCAGCGATCTCCCTGACATGTACATTGATCGAAAAGTTTTCCACTTCTCCTGAATGTTTTGTTCTGTTTCGTGAAGAAGAGCACGAGGATATGGATATTTCCTTCTTTTGATACCGACTGGAGTATGCTTTTTCTCAGTTGAGTTCGACGCTGTTACACCTGCGTCCAGGTTTTCATTTGATATACTGAATTATTTTGTTAAAGCTTACTCTGCCAAGAGTAATAACGAAGTCAAGTGAAAAAATTACTAACATTGTTGAATACTACACTCCAATATTGCATTTCTCTCACAAGAACGACGTAATTATTCTCCGAATATAAGCTCAGAAAATGCAAGGGTTTCCTCGTGTAGGAGATAAATATGTAGAATCATTGCCTTGGATTCCACCCACATCTTTCATTCAGAAGGCGAAAATGCTATCATCACCACAGCCTGCATTTGGCAGGAAGTTATAGTATGCTTAGGAAAGGAAGGCATCATTCTGAGGCTTATTCCAAGGAAGGAACCATGCCCACCATAGTTCACGAGACAGAGCAGAACTATACAAACTTTGAGCAGGATACCCTATATTGCACATGGAGAAGATGCAATACGCATACACTTTTCTCGCCGAAATGTGACATAATTGGAGGATTACTTTCGAGCAGAATTCCATCATGAAACCATAATGTGGCTTGATACTGGGATTCGAAACCCATTTCTAGTCCCCGAAATAGTCACTGTGAGCTTCGGAGAACTGCCTATTTCGGAGAACTGCCCATTATTGGAATCGGCATCGCAGAATGATCTCCAACATTATCCCCCAAAATCATCAAGATGTGAAATGCAACAATCACAAAAGAAAATACTCTCGTGCGTGAGCCGCTATCATTGAGAACAAAGCCCTTCCCCTAATAGCACCTCCTCTTGCAAGACCATATCACAGCTTCTGTGCTCGGAAGGAGGCTGTGGCAGTGATAATGAGGGCTAGAGAATCCTAATTGACAGGGTCATTACCATTGATGATCAATGGTGGGTGGGAAGACAGATGCTTCCCCAGTACAGACCAGCCTGTCTTCCTTGGTGATGAACTTACTCTCCATCTTCATATGATGGTTTCGAGCCTCTGACAAAATCCATGTAAACGACTTTCATGTTTCCCGAACATTTGGTTATTCAACGTGAATTTTAAAAATATTTCAGATGGGAGTGGAGTTGCTGCTTTGCATAGCCGTGAATGTGACAGGGGTGTTCATACATTATCGGAGCGAAACGGCGCAAAGAAAAGCGTTTCTCGAGACCAAACAGTGTGTCGAGGCCAGACTCACCACGCAGAGGGAGAATCAGCAACAGGTAAAGATCTCCATTATTTCTTTAAGAACGATGTTCTCAAGGATGGCCATGCAATTATTCATGTTTGTCAGTGCCAAGGGGTCAACAGTTACAGTTACTGAAATACTGACTCATTTACAATTTTTACTGGAACATCGGAATGTGGACAATGACATGGTATGGTGGTCGTGCCATTCATTTAAAAATAAAATTCGTCAGCTTTCGTCTATTCGTACGGGAAGAGATTCTCGTGGACCTGAGGCACATGATGTCAATGAGATACTGTATCTTCAAAGAATCTCTTTATTTTACTGGACTTTACCCAGCTTGTACAGGCAACTTGTACAACTCAGCAGGCTGAATTTTCGGCATGGAATCGCTTGCGACAAGGTTAAATTCATTGAATATACTTTACACCCAACAGGATGAGAATCTGCAAAGAAAGACGTCGCTTCCCTTTTATGGCATTTTATTTCCATGCGGATGTCACCCCCTCTCTATCACCATCTCAAATATCTCCTCCCTTCGTCGTCACAAAGAGAAGACATATATATGCACGAGACGATGGTGCTAAATGGGAATCTGGTGTCATCCGTTTCGTCTAGTAAGAGAAAGCCGGATTGATAATCAGTTTTCTCCTGCATCTCGAGAAAGCCTCGTGAAATGAAATTGGGATATAAGTTAAGTGGTTTCTGTTGCTTCCGTGTTGGGCTGCATCCTTGCGTGTGGCTCGAGTTCTTCCTAAAGCAAGTCCTTCGAGGATTCTCAAACTGAATGCCTCTCACGTTTTCCTTTGAGAAGAGCCTTTATACCGTTTTCTCGCTCACGGGCACAGACAGTACACTTCAATGTACACCAACCCCCCTCTTTCTCTTATTTCCTCTGCCCGTGGAAGAGAGTCTCTGGTTGGTTTCATCTGCCTGCCAGCTGCTGCTTTGCTGCTCTCCCCAGAGAAAGTGGATTCATTACCCTCCATCAGCTTAATTGGGCTCTCCTTTTTAAGGAGTGTCTTTTACCCATTTCCCTGGTGAGATGAGGCTTTCTCTTAGTTTCATTTCAACTCCGCACTTAACGACATGACATTACGTATTTGTTGAAGCAAGCAATAAAATTTACATGGAAAATATTTTCAGGGAAGGCCTTGCTCTCGTTACTTCCTAGCAATTATGACAGCCTTATCTTTTCATATTTATTTTATGATATTTCATAGTTCATATCATCTTGTTTTTTGTCTTTCAGTCCTGTCACGTGTGCTTTATTTCTTGAAATCTTTTGGAATCGAACAATGGAAATGATGCGAGATAGACGAGAAAACGTATATTGTTGGGAGTAATGGACATAGAAGGATACTAGACACTGTATCCAAGGTAAGCACAGCTGGAAGCCATCACCTAGATGGATATAAGCTTTTGAAGTCCTTCGTGTTCTTAGATTCTCCAGTCGCACCTCACCATGGGACGAATTCATGACCCATTCGGGAACGTCTCATGACAGTCGTTAATCGTCCATTAGGGACACGAGGGCTTGCATTATTCACCCCCATCTTCAAAGGTGTCGTACAGTCGTCATACTTGCGTGTACGATACGCCTCTTTATGGCCATTATAGGAACGGCTGCTGCTGTCAGTGTTGCCCCGGCATGTCGCTATGGAGATGAAAGCCGACATTGCAGGGAAACCCAAGGACACCATGTTCCATAAGATTTACATCCAGAGGCACGAAAACGTCAGGTAAAACGGGCTTCAAAATCATATCCGGCTAACAGTTTTACAACGTTATGAGTTTTTCACATATTGCCATTTTTTCTTGCAGCATATTATTTGCAGACATCTGCGGTTTTACAAGCTTATCTGAACAGTGCACCGCCGAAGAACTCGTTCGTCTCCTAAACGAACTCTTTGCCAGGTGAGAAGGTGTTTTATCATATCCAGACCTCAAACAGAAGAGTAAATGGCATATAATGCCGCTATACCTGTAATCTGTACACCTTTGAAAGATAAAGGGCTTTCCGGCACGGTCCGGATCGATCCGTGACTACGTAAGAAGAATGGGGTTTCGCTCAGACGAAGCACACGGAATGATCTCATCATACAAGATGCATAGTCGAGAATGCATTGCATTATACATGCATTTTTCTGCGACACTTCCTCGAGGAAATTGAGTTCAGCCATATTTCTTTCATGGATGGTCGAAGACATGAATTTCCATACGAGTGACACTCGGGAGTGGATATATCTGCGACTATAGGTAGAAGTCTATGAGTCAATATATTCCAGCTTCTCTTTTATGTATCGATGAATGGCTTGGGTTTAGGGGGTCTCATGAATACTCGCGACGTCCTCTCGACTCTCTTCGTGCAGCAATATATGGGAATCCGCGAGAAGCGGCTGCAATTTCCGGCTTATTCTCTCCTTTCCTCCATGGGTTTTCTCAACAAAGCCCAGAGATGAAGGGGAGAACTGATAAACGTTTTTTTGCATCCGATTCCGACCCGATTCATCCTTGAAATATGTTTTTCCCTGCTTGACGTCAGCCAGAGCTCACGGAAAAACATTTTCTGTCCTGTAATCTCGGATGAAGGAAGCTACTTTTATTTCTCATCGACTTCCATCACAAAATACGGCCAAGAGGATTTCCTACTTCCTTTGAGGAGCTTAGCATATGAAGAACCTGTAGTTAGAAGTCAAATGAGGCTCTTCACTGAGGACACGGACCATGAAGGTCTTGATAGGAAAAGACACAAAAGGCAAGGTCGCGCTCATAGATCCGGGATTTCCTCCTCCCTTGGAGACAGGTATTGCCACAGAAACTCGACCGTACCGTCTGGTTTCCTTTTCTCTCGAAATCGATGCCTCATTCCTCCTTGAGCTCTTTCCCTCTTTCTCTCTTCCATCCAACCTCAAAGGGTCTTGTTTTCCGCAGGGGAGAGCGATCGACAAAGGAAGGACGGCTGACGCATACGAGCAAATGAAACTTGGGAGTGTGAATCAATTGCTGCTTGCCTGATCTGATGATCGATAGTTTGTAATCACGTCTGCATCGACGCTTCGCTGTATGTGAAAGAGACTTCCCATAAGAGGGATTGCGTTTTCATCGCCTTACGACGATTGCAGAAGAATCGCAACCAATTGGCAAAGAATTTGAAAGTAGCTGGATGGCGCATTAAAAGCTAGAAAATGTTCATTTCATCGATGGCTTCATGTGTTATTGGAATGTTGAAAATCCCCACCTGATAGGTGCAAATGTTACTCCTATTTTAAGGTAGATACTGAGTCGAGAATAGTAATCTCAAGTTGAACAACGGTAAAACTACCTTATTATCGCATTATGATCTCTCTAACGTTGAACTACTTTCTTGATACTCGTTGTACCAAGGAAATAATTTTGGACTCAGGGTTGACTCGGTGCTGGAGCAAGACAGACATGCTCTGGCATTCACAATCAACCATCAATTAATAATGAATCTTATGGGGAATTAACACATACTGAAGTTCGCCATTATCCTAGAATAAAATTCGAAATACGATTTCGGTTTCACATTTGTTGATTCCGAGTTTAAATGCGCGCTTAAACTAGAGGAGCTCGTCACTGATATGCAACTTGCATTGCTTCAACATGGCATTGTTTCTTACACTCCACCATTCCACAATAATCGAGGTGATTCATTAAGAATTCTCAAACGTGTGGGGGTCTCTTTATCTCCACGTGTGGTATCATCTCAAACCACATGAGCGTTAGAAAATGCTTGAAACCATACCATTAACTTGTCCGAAATACCTTGGGAATAAGAACATCTCTGGGATGTCTCAAAGGCATTCGATTCCTTTGCCCAAAAATCATCGCCGCGGCGTCGTGCAGGTATGAGATACCTTAAAGTAATTTTTTAAAATAGTCTTTCGTATTGTCACGTGAGTCAAATCAGTCCAGAGATCGTCAAACTAAGAGGAGTCGAGGTCAAGTAAACGAGAATTCTCCCTTAATGCTATCTCTCCGCCTGAAGATTCGCTCTTCTAAAGAAAGCCAGGGGACGGCCGGGAATTGAACCCGGGCCTCCTGATTGCCGGTCAGGTGTGCTACCATTACACCACCGAACCCAGGACATTCAGTCGTGCCTCTCAACACTGCCTTCATCACAATATGCTTTTCCTAGAATTTATTGTATTGCGAGGTTGTAGTGGTGGAGAGGAAAAGGGATGCCAAATAATGCAGACTCAAGAGACTCCAGGGAAAATCTAATATTAAATGCATAGAATACGAAAGTATTTAAGATGCAAACATCGCCTTTAGGCGATAGTCATTCGATATTGGTGGCGTCGTCTTTAAAAGGTCGATCCCGATGGTGATCTGTCTTTGCTTTCTCTTCTTTCGTATCTACTTTCTCTGGGGAAATCGGAGACCAAAAAAATGGAGCTTCACATCTCGGACCGTGCTTTGATTGTTCCGACCGGAAAAATTGCAAAGACTGACATTAAAGTTACCTGTGCAATAGGGTGTTGATGTGCAAGTTCAACCAGACCGTAGTGCGGTGTAGAAGCACTAGGTAGACCAACTCACGTGCAGGATGTCTGGTCTTCCGTGCCTGTAACATGTCACTGTCAACCGAAGTGTGAATTTATCAGACCCCCAGATTGACGTACATATACAATAATTGAACATGAACGTAGAAAAGAGCTGTCCACTTGATGCATCGCATGTATCCTGAAAATGCAGAACATTTCGAAGTTTTAAAGCGATGCAGCTTCTCGACAGAGAAGCCAAACCAAGACTAACAGGGAGAACTCATCGCCCGAAAAAGATTAACAATTTCAAGCAATTCAATTTCAATACAAACAGCAGTGGAGACAGAGAAAGTTTCAGGATGAGCTTGGTTTACAAGTAAGATCATGGACGATGCCTTTGTAAATTTTAAGAGTTTTCCTGAATTTTTCTTCTGAGGAACGGCTGAAAGAATCTTGCCAAGCGGTTGGCATGCAGAATCTCCAAACACCTGCACCGAAAAAATTGCGAATTACATCCACGGCTGGAAGAAATGCTGCTATCCTGATAGTTATTATCTCTCTTCAAGGCTTTGGTGCCGAGCTGCCAAATTTTAAGTTGGGAACTGCCAGGATTACTACGAGCGATATCATAATTGCCAGCAACTCACTACAGTGGGTTCCACTCATTGGAATCACACAGATTCAGGGGTATTTCACAACATTCAGAGGCTGATAACAGGTGATAAAAACTTGAAATTTATAACTTTTGCAATCAAATCGTTTTTTTTTTCGCAGGAAGCAATTGTCCAATGTAGTCTGGATGTGGATAACGGTAAATAGGTCCTCGTTTCGGTCTCCAGGCCGTTTTGCATATCTTAACCCCTCAAGCAGGTTATTTTACTCGGGATACCACTGCTGGTAACACACGAGGCTGCGAGTAAGTACTCGAGATGCCGGTTTGAGAGTTAATACTCCATCCAAAAAATTAGCGATGTTCGAAGCAGCGATGGGGGACAGACCCCCAAATGCAGCGTGGATAGAAACAAGTTGGGCAAGCCCAGTCCAGTAGTGGGCTTCCTTTCAGTTAAGGAAACCCTCATTTTGTCGCCTAATTGCACAAAATGATATCTCTTTCCGGTCTTCGATCATCAAACACCTAATTTCTCATTTATATTTGGTAAAAATAGACAAACGGTGCCCATGAAACGATGATGGGACGCTGGAGGGCTGTGCATGATTGGATCCATCTGCCACAAACGTTGGTAGGGAACTGACAGCTCTGGATGCTGACACGGCGCCGCGCTCAAAGTCTGGGTCGTACGCGCATGCGCATTGTGATCTACATTCTGAAGGGCTCATAGGTACTCATGGCTTCCCCTCCGTTAACAAATTTAAAATCTAAAATTTGCAATAAACATGCCAATTTTGGTGTAAATTCACCACAAAACGAACTCAGCCAGTATCTTCTTCATATCTACCTGCTTGCCAATTTTCGCATTGATCAGACCAATATTTTTTAGTTATCGTAGGACAACCAGTGTGACACACGGACACACTGACACACGGACGGACAGGACGGGATTATAAGTTGGTCTCTTTCCTTTTAGGAAAGGAGACCCACTAAAAATGGGGGGGGGGGGGGGGGGGGACAAAGTGGGGGGGCACAGGACAAAGTGGGGGAAGGGGGGCCACAGGAACTCTGGAATACTGTTATGCATTTCTTCGGTCTTTTCCTTCTTTTTCTTTGCTTCTTTTCTTGAAAAATAGAGGGGCATGTGCCCCTCTATTTTGGTACCCCTGACGCTTCGGAGAGGTGGGGGGTTTCTAGGCAGACAAACTCCTCCGTCAGACCCTTCCATCTTACCTCGATATCTCATCGAAACTCCTGCAGAGTCGTCATGTATTATATACCAAATTGAAAGAGACGACGGGAGCACTCTAACGATATTGAATTAGACGTCATTGCAGCAGGGAATTCTGAGCAATGAACAGGAAAAGAAAGGGCCATATCCACTCAAGAAGCTCGAGGGAGCCAGAATTTTTTTTAGGGTGAGATACAATATTAATCAAGGTCCTTTCCAGCTCCCTCGTTACAGCTCAGATGAGACCCCCCTGGGAGAGAATCCCCATGCTTTTCCTCTCCTCAGTAACTTTTGTAACTGCTGAGACGAAGTCGTCTTGATAGCAATAGTCGACGACGGTGATAACAAGCAGGAGGAAAATGTACATGACATGGGACTCGATTTTGAGTTTGAGCTTTTATCACATCATCTGGCTGATAGCACTATCAATTACCATTGCGGCGTCTGCGGCGTCTCCTGTTGTATAAAAAATCGGATGCAGAGCTGAATATTTGCTGAGTTGATGCTTAGCTTTTACTAGTGCTAATTTGTGAATGTGGGTACCATTCAAATTACAAAGTTAAAGTCCGGATTAACTATTTTATTTCTGAGTAATGTCGGTTTGTGAACGTCACCCATAGTTTTACTGTACTGTTTCCTGCACCCTGCAGCAGATAAGTCACGCCTTTCTGATAGTCTTCTCTGAGGTCCCGTAATACAGACGTCGAAAACTGCTCCTAGGAAAAAAAAGAAAAACAAGGAGGACTAAACGATCCTTAGCGTTTAACTGAGTTATTGATGTGCTGCAGGTCTCTCTCCTTAGCTTTAGGGATCCTCACCAATGCTTCACTCGTGATCTGTTCGGTCTCCTTGCATTTTCACAACTATATTGGTTGCAGAGAGACTTTCCTCTGAACTTGCCACCACCATCATTTGTCAGCTATTGCCAAGAAAGAATGCTACTTCCTTCATGAACATCAACAATGACTTTCTACTTTCAATTCGTTCATATGATAAAAAATAGTTTCAATTCGGACCTCGTGCTGCAGCTCGCGTCTTGTCCTGGATTAAAATGCGGACAATTTGACTTACTAGACTGGCATGAATACTGAAGTCGATTATTCACCTTCCATAGTATTTTTTTTCATGGGATTAAATTTGAGGTGTCAGTGTATCAACAAAGTGTATCAACTAAGTGACGATATAAAAAAAACTCTTTCAAAAAGTGACGACAAATTTATTGGTAGAGTCAAAAATTGTGATTGCTTTGTTGGCAGGTTCGATCATCTGGCGGCCGAGCACCACTGTCTTCGGATAAAACTTTTGGGCGATTGCTATTATTGCGTGTCTGGATTACCAGAAGCCAGGCCTGACCATGCTCAGTGCTGCATCGAAATGGGACTGGACATGATTGAAGCCATCGCGTGAGTTTTTTTTTCTGCTTCTCTAGTTTCGTGTAAACTATGGTTTGTATGTTCAGAAACGGCGATGATAACATGAAATAGGGTCTCTTTTTAAAATCGTACATCATCAGCGTAAACCTAGGCAAATGAAAACGAAACCCTCTCTCAGTGTTCGGGTTGAGTGACAATTCAGCAGCATTGAAACATACTTCTTTGAATGGTTGGCGCCCAGGATCTGGAAGAAGAGGATGATTTAAATTGCAGACTGGTCGGTGTGATTGAACCCTTCAAGTTGCCAATGTAGCTCTGCTCAGCTCCGGAACGATTGAGTTCAAGGAAATTGTGTTCCTTTTTGGACCCTTGGAAAAGACCACCTGTTGGTTCAAGCTCACTCCGGTGAGCTTGAACCAACAGGTTCCATTTTTATGCTCGTTCATCATGCATCCTATCTTTTGATTTGATTCAAAATGACCTTAGAATGATTGTTATACTCTTCCCAGGTATAAGTCCCCCTTGATGGAAGTTGAGGGTTTTTCTCAGGGAATAGAAAGGAGCTGCCCCTTCTAACTATTTTGATTTGCCTTTGGTATGTCCTTTGAGAACCACCCTGCTCTGAGACCCAATTGAAATATGCAACACGCGACTCACAAATTCCCCTGTGTCGGAGCATTTTAGGTCTACATAAAAGAGTAAAAATATCCAACGTATCCGCACCAGACCTCTCTCAGATCACCGTTGCGATCACAAATGGACCTTTGATCCTTGCAATGTAAACGTAGACTTTCTTTTCCTGTGAGACTGACGAGAAGGTTTTTGCCAGGTGTATCATGCAAAATCAAAGGGATTCTTGCTAATCATGTTGGCACTCAGACCTTGCAAGGGGGAATAATTGTATGTGTGAACATGATTTAATTTTACTAATAATTGTTCACATATTTTAATTTGTATTTTATTGCTGCTTCACTTATTTTTAATTATTATTTCTTAAAAAGTGGGGACTTTGGCGGCCACACTGATATAGAGATATTCCACAAGCGACTGAACGCACAGTAGAGGAAAGGCGCTTCTTATCGAAGATCCTTGATATTGCCACACTATCACGCTCTGTCACTCTGCATCCCATTATCACTGACCAGGGGAATGCGATGGAAACTTTTAAACGCACGGGTTCCAGAACCTCACTGCGCATCTGGCCGTCAGGGTCGATATCGCGGGTGTCATTGAGGCACACCAAATCCCTTCCATTCCACGCCGTGGGGCACAGAGTAACCGATGCTTGAACTCAGGGGTGAGCAGGTAGTACCTAAAAGCAACCGGATGAATTGGCGACCCAGAAGAAACCCGCCTGCCTCTGTTCGGATTGAAACCTGATTCCCCTGCGTGCTAACCCATGACCCTTATAACCACGGAGCCACATCAACGTGAATTTCGTTCCTTATTGTTGACTTTTCTCCGAATCAAGGAGAGATTAACTGCGCAGAGCTCACAAGAAGAATCTTTTTCATTTGAAACCCTGGTTACGCGATCGCTTCCAATTAATCCTCTCGTGTCTTCCGGGACCTAGAGAGGGATCGTAACCCCACTGTCACAGAGACTCTCTCTAAGGAACACTTGGCCTGTTCCATTTGGGGCACTTTGAGTAGTTCCTCACGTAGTAACACTTCGTCTCAGCTCTTACAATGTGCTGGCGAAATTTCTGCTTGAGCATTGCAGGAGCTAAGACGAATACTCAAGCTAAAACGGTCATCCATGGAATCCGTGGCCTTCGCCAGGAGAATGACGTGGGTGTGAAAACTTCCCACATGCAGCATTACGCGTAGCTTGGAATCATACTGCAGTATATCGTGTGTTCTGATATGGAAAGTCATTCGACTTAGGCGGAGGTCGACGACAGAAAACCAAACTTTGGATCTCATTATCTTCTTTTCCTGAATGCATAGCACGTCGGAGGAACGTCTCTTACCTGTATTGTAATCTCGCGAGAATAAAAAATTCCATGCAAAAACCGCTTTGCGCACCGGAAATTCCTAAATGTCCCAATTGACGCCATCAGGCACAGTTCTAGAGGCTATTAAAAAAATTGGAGCCAGATGAATCCTCTGCAAAGGATCGTAAAGTGGATGCCATGTTACGGAGGCATTCTGGAAAGAAACGATTGATACAGATCATAGTATCAGGCAGAGAGAAATCCAGAATATGTTCAGGTGCCTTAACAAGAGGCAAGGTCGATATGATGTATCCTGTACGTATGGATCAGAAACTGAAGGGAGATTCTCATGAGGAATCCTCTTTGTTCAAGGCCAAATCATGTCCCAGAACTGAATTCCTAATTTTTATATATGTGTGATCAGAATCTTGAAGTCATAGCACAATGATCTCCCACTTTCATCTGCTTGGGGTTGATAAGGCCACGTGAACTCCTGATCATGATTAAGCCGACATGTTTGAAATGACTGCGTAGTAAAGGTAGTAAAGAATTTCTTGGAAAAACAACCCAACAAGTGAGTGGCAATATTGAAATTGATTAGTAGTTCCGCTATTAAAATCGCGTTTAAAATCATAGACCTGATGTTCGTCGCCCACTATCTTTTGGTGTTTATACACTGGATAGTATTTTTGAAAAGCAAAGTGACCAAAAATCCATGACAATTCTATTTTCTTGTTATCTGAAAATGAAAAAAACATGACCACGAAGACACTAAAATAACTGTTTTTTTTTTAAGAAGTGGTTCCAGACTGTTATATCTATAAATTTTATGGAAATTACATTTTGAACGGGATTTTGGCGTGGAATCGACATCACACTCTACCTATTTCATGCTTGTGAAACAGGTAGAGAATAATGGTAGCGTGCCCCAGAAGATACGACTTTTTGACACATGAAGTAGAAAATGATCTATGTAAGGTCGCCTCAATCCTCTCCCATCGGACATGGAAGCCCTTCTTTACAGTCATGAGCTAACAACTCAGTCGATAGCTGCTGTTTCGGGAGGGGATTTCTAATCCTATATGGCAATGAGGCTATGATGTGCACACGTTTTCGCGGGGAGAGATAGCTTCACGAGGCAATAAATAAAATTATTGTCATTTATCAGTTCCCATGATATTTGAGCTGGAGAATCCTGCTTTCCGATCTTCCTGAAAAGAGCTGGCAGTCAAAGATATGGAAGCTTTTGATCCCTTCTGTGGGATGCATGGAATATGTTGGTGAGTCAATGACGAGTAGAGTGGGAAGTTCAGTCGTATTCTTGTCGCCCACAAATAGAAGTGAGGCCCCCATGAAGAGCGTATCTCATGGGAGAATGCAGTGCATCTGCGGAATAGCGCATTATGGCATGGTTATGGTTATTTCTCATAGTACGTCGTCTGCCAAGGGTTATCAGTCGGGAACAAGAGTCTCATATGCTCCCAGTGTACCCATTGCCATATTGCTTCCTCTCATGAGTAGACTAAGACTCACGTACAGGGAATTCTTTCTTCCGTGGCATTGTAATTGCTGTTTTGAAAGAGGGCTGCAATTTGTGAGGCTGAGGAAGGATTTGAGGGCCTGCTTGAGGATGGAAGGAGAGGCTCTGAAGAATTGAAGCCTGAGCATAATTCTTCAGAGCCTCTCATTTTGGTATCGCTAGCAGATGCTGCACTTGTTTGTTGGACCTCTCATTCATGCATGACAAAGTTAATAATGCATATTTGATAATCAGACAATAGCCCAACTTCACAAAATGGCATCCATATTGCCCTATTTGCTTTCACTTCCAAGAACCAATGACACTACTTTTTGGCTCTTACGTTCACTTGATGAATGCCTGTCTCCGAGTTGAGAACCGAAGCGCCTCGTCTCTTATTTGCTATGAAAAGGTTTAAGTTTAAGGCTGGGACCATAGATGTCGGGTACAACATTTTCGCTTTCTTTCGAAAGATAAAATGGCTTAACATCCGCTTGATCATCCGTTACGAGCGTCTCGCCAGTCAGGTGGTTTTATCGTGATTAGCATAGCAATAGGACATGGAGTACATTGATATAAACTATTTTCCTGCATTTTTCTCATGTCTTCATGTCTTTCAATATCTTTGCTTCATACAGATTTTCATGATCAATCGTGATTTTGCATTTCATCATGCATAAAGTGCCCAAATCCCCGTCAGTGGAGAGGAAATTTAAATTCATGACTCACGAAACCAAAAGTGGACATGTTTGATCCCATATCATGGAAATTCTGGTGTCCATACAGCATCGATAGCCCTGTACCTTCTCCCAGTCATGTCACACCAACATGCAATGAAGTCACATGTGCAGGATGCATCTCCATGAAAAGGCCTACGTTGAATCAACACGAACAGCGTGACTGGCATAACTCTGCTTGCAAAAACACATAGGAGCGGTTTACACAGTAATTGCTCGATGGAGCAATGGAATGGCCGATGGAACTTGTTGGGTGTCATATTACACATCTTTAACCTTCGTAAAGCCAAAATAATTTTTTGAGACATGAATGGCCAAATCCAGATCAAATGTAACTGAAGACATTTTAATAATAAAAATAGCAACTCAAATCCAATAAATTTCAATTATATTTCCTTCTTCGTTATATGCACTGGCGACATGGGGCGCACAGGACATTAGAAGCAGCATATAGTCATGGGGGTAACCCAAATTGCCAGTTTCATGCAATCCCGCATTTTGGAATGATATTGCAATATTTTACTATTTGGTCATTTTTTTAAACCCTATTTTGACCTTAAGAAGGTTAATATGTTAGTAAGAAAGGAGAAAAAAAAATAAAAATAAAATGGAGCTTCAGATCTTTCATGCTAAAAAATCCCATGCATTTCCAATCACACATCTCTCAAGAAGATCCTCCACTGAGCTTGCTTCAATGGGGATAGCTTCGATATTGGAAAAAAATGAAATAGCAAAGACTGCTTGCACCAAAGGGGATTATTCTCGTACAACTAAGGCTTGTTTGTACAAGTACGCACATGTGTACAGTAGATCGGAGAACGTCAAGCATCCGAATACCTAAATATTCTACCTCGAAAAAGGGGAATGGCAACGCGGCGTGAATTTATCAATATTTGCGTTGTAATAGTCAATTATCCAAACAAACCGATTTTCCAAACACTCTTGACCTTGGTTAGTCCGAAAATGGTGTTCAGATAAGCAACGCTCTCCTTCACTTACCAGGTGCATTGAGTATCGCATCTTTCGCTTCTCTCTAATTCTTCTCAATCCTTTCTTTAATGTTTCCCTGGACCTCGATGTAATTCTTGTGCCCTCAAAATCTCAAACCCCTCCCTTTGCAATAGCTCTCAGTATTGTGGCTCTTGCAGTGGATCTTTCTTTCCTTGGGTCATCCGCACTCCACATTTCCGGTTCTGCTGCTGTCATTTCACGATTCAAATTAACAAGGCACACTATCTGGATATGTTTGAGGGACAGTTTCACAATATCTGATGCCCACGCATAGAAATAGGGAGCTCGATTTGATAGTTGTTTGCACCACTATCATATTATACTTGTCACGACACCATCCCTCGAAGAAGGTGAAGAATCAGTAAGAAGAAGTGGGACCTGGTGTTAGAGTAAGTGGATGGATATCTGCTGATGGATATCTAATGGTATAGAGGACAAGTTTCTCATGTACTTAGACAAACATGATAACTCGACCTCATACCAACCAGGAGCTTGACCTATTCAAATGCAAGAGAGGAAGAATCATGGAACATTATATTTGAATGTGCTGCAGCTCATAATTACATTGGTTTACCATTGGTGGTCTGGTTTTAATCCACAGGAATCAGCCTCGAAAAAGCACACCTTAAAGAAAATAAACAGATTCCTGCAGACCATGCAATTTTGCAGGCCATTTTCTTGCCGTGGTCAACTGTGTGCCGTTTATATCGATCTTTTAGTTAATGCTCATTTTATGCCTTATTGACACCATTTTCAATTTGACTTCAAGGTTGATCGTAGCTTGGAATTACCCAGCCGCCAAGCCCACCGATTTCATCATGGTTTGCGTTCCCTTCCACGATATGATCTCGGGCTAAACTTATTATTCTGCCTTTCGCCACCGAAGCATGTTGTTCCCGAACTTGATATCATCCTCAACGTGCTCACCCTACTATAATGGAAGACCCGATTAAGGTTTAGCATAATTCACTCATGTTTTAAAAAATGTTCCCCTCAGTTTGAAAAGACGTGACCGTGAAATGAGCCTTTGGAAACCGTTTGACGGTTGGCAAGAGCCAACCTTTGCAGCCATGAAGCCATTTGAGAGCCTAATGGAAAATCGGCCAGCTATGACCCGGATGATGGACTACTGTCTGATGGTTGAGGGGCTACTACTTTCTGGGAAAGTGTTGTGAGTTATTAATCGATAACGTGGATGCAATTTGTTCCAATGCCACTGAAGAAGGCTCCAGAACTATTTTTGAAACGAAAAATGAAGGATTCGAAGGAAATGACATTTCCTATTCAAGGTCGAGCAAGGCAACGCCAGACAGAGGCTCATATGGAGAAGTACGATGGCTTCACGAGATCAGTTTTCCCCCACAAAGTGCATTACTTCTAGCAAGATCAGGTTCAAACCTTTGACAATGCATCATAGGATGCGAATGATGTCCCACAGCTGGAGTTCAGAGATGATAGGGAGGAATCCTTTTGTCTTCTAGAAGATGAATATCAATGCTCGGAGGCAATAGTAGATCCAGACAGCAAGGTGCATACGAGTTGAGCGGTTTATCATTTGCTCGGATGAAGTCTTGTAATGCGGAGCGGACATGCTGCATTCATGAACAGGACGGACAAAATCCGTAATTTGGCAACCACAGTCAGCCGGAGCTCACACAACTCTGAGCGAAACCCCTAGAGATAAGATCATCTATCTCGATTCCATTCGCCCGTCATTCGAGAACCAATGCCCAAGATAATGCTTGGCCTGTTCCAGTGGGACCCCCATGACAAGTGCCACGTGCTGCACAGGATTTCTCAAGAGAACCATAGCTCGGGATTTTCGGGCACTTCCTTTCATTCAGGCCCCAGTGCATTCGGAGCGGAACCGATCCAACACGCTCCAAAGATCCCGCCTAGACCGGGCCAAGAGGACTGCACCATCATCAAAGAAAAGTATCTTTATATCGACGCCATCGATATTGACCCTCATCCAGGCCTATACTGCGCGTAAAAGACTGTCCATGTGCAAGGGGAACAGGAAAGAAAAGTGAATGTAAGTCTGGCGTTACCAAAAATGTGCCGGACAAATCAAGTATCCGGTGGAAAGTCAAGAGAAGGTATGTGGTATAACGACCTGCACATAAAACAGGAATGCTCTTCTTTGGATGATTTCTCCGATGGTAAGAAGGTATCAACTTCGTAAATATTTCGTTCGGTGCTTTGCCACGAAGACAAGGAGAGCTGCATTCCGTTCCCTTCCATCGCTTCTTAGGATTTTATCGTTCTCAAGTTATCAGGATTTTACTGCGAAGCATAAGTATTTTTGACGATGGCTTTCACTTCCTTTCCTTATCACACCTGCAGTGCGACGTCACTGCTTTCTCCAGTGAGATGTCCTGTTCCTCACTTTCGGTATGAGGCTTAAGGCATTATTCGTCGATTGACTCAAAAAATCTCGAAATGAAAATGCAAATCTCTCACACGAGGGACAGAACCACTTCTGGAAAAACTAGAACTCCTTGTTCTTAAGAAAAGATAGCCTACTGTCGACAAGTGTCTACGTGTATATTCTTCCTTTTCTAAACGGTCCCAACAATTAATCGAAAAAAGTGTGTATGCTGACTGCCCCATGAGGAACTCCTTGCGGAGGAAATAGATGGGGAAAAAATGTCACCCAAGTGATTTTTTTGGACCGTCTATGCACTTATTGCGCTGTACTTTACCTATAGACCAGAACAGAGAGAGAGAGAGTGGGGGAGAGGGAGAGAGAGGGGCGAAGGCTTTGCGGGGTTGCTCGCATCAATGACTGAAAGATCTGGCCGCATTCCAGGCTAAGGTAAATGATTTTGGGAGGGGGCCCATACCCCGGGCCATGATTAATGTCCTTCGATTCGGGGGAAGGACCCTGGATAGAAAATCACAGATATCCAGGTCAAGGGGTGCATTTTTGTGTCTCCTCTCATCCTACTTCTGTGTTAATGCGATCTCTCCATTTCCTTGGGGAAATCTTTTGGCTTTGTGTTCGAGAGCAACCAAGTGAGAAACTCTGGAGATACGGTTGGTCCCTCTGCTCCTATCCATTCACCATATGATGCAAATTTACTCAACGTCCTGCTTTCCATATCCAATCACCCTTATCTCCTCCTCAATTGACTTTATCATAATTGGTTCTTGGGTGCGTTCTCTACCAGGGTACAACTCGCTAGTAGCAAAAAAAAAACTTTAAATAATTGGTGCACGAATTGATTAAAATAATTGTTGCACGAGCTCAGGAATACTTTTTGGAATGTGGTGCGACGGCCGCCAAATGTTCACATTTTTTTTACAGCTTAGTCGTTTTCTCACAGGAAAAAAAAGAAGATCGCTAGTTGTCTATCATGCGGTGAACCCAGATTCGTCAGGGGGTTGGATTAAGCTGAATTCGTGGACAAGACTGGAAAGAAATCAATAAAAATCAATAGATATTAGAATCAGGTATAGTGAGTCAAATCAGTCCAGAGATCGTCAAACTAGGAGGAGTCGAGGTCAAGTAAACGAGAATTCTCCCTTAATGCTATCTCTCCGCCTGAAGATTCGCTCTTCGGGACGACTAAGAAAGGAATTGAAGGTTCGCGTCTTGCCCTGAGTCCTTTCGGAAGCATCAGCTTCGGCTGGAGGCCCAAGATGACAGGTCACGGCTCGGCATTTCAATCACTTGTCAGGGAAATCTCCATCTTAAGATAAAACGCTTTTTCCACTGACGAAGGTTGATAGATATGAATGGTTGAAGATAGGTTGCATGCATTGAATTGAATCTGTGGAAGTTCCATAATTTTAAAATCCATTATGCATACCCTATCCCAATTCATCATCATCAGCGCCATAACAGCTGTCTCCAGCGCAAGCAATCATCAGAGGCTTAATTTCGCCGCACGCGATGTTGCCCCGTGCATGGGGGTGCAGCTGTGGACCCTCGACCATCGTCAACATAATGCTCATTGAGAAATCGCTGTTGCCCGACTGTGGCTTCGTGCATGGGAGTCTGACGATCTTGCCCACTCAAGCAGGGCCATTTATCAGTCGCATTAAGACCGTAATCCTCGATACGATCGCCTTCAAGGACGATCCATCTCTCAATTTGGCAGCTAAAATACTTCACGCAATGCTCGAAAGCACTCAGTGTTTGTTCACCACGGGCTTAATAATTTTTTCTATGTTACGTAACCTACTCTCCCGCTTTTAGAAGGAATCTATGAAATGTAATCCGTACATTTTTCGTTTGCTTCTTCTCCATGATTGATGAAAGCACGCGCACGTACTGATGAGAACTTGAGAACTCCTGAATCAGATCCTCAAAGCTTGCAAAGTTCCCTATAAGTAAACAGTTCCAAAATGACATTCGATCGTACTCGTTCCTCAGCGAAAGGAAGAACCGTGGCCTCATCCACCACTTTCTACAATTCATCTTCGTCTTGCTTCTTTATGCTTTTTCCTCTTCTTCGGTCAAAATAGCAACATCGAAGCAAGAGTTAAAGCGCACTCTGTCATCGCCATGTCAGTTGCAGACGGCAAAGTTTTTTTTTTTCAATCGTGAATGCCTGCTCTCCAACAGTACGATCGTGCTGCCAGGTTATAGCCTCATGTGCCGTCTCATCGCTGAGACTTGGCGACGGTCGTGCGACAGTGGAGCAACAAAATGCGGTGTGCGGTGCGGTGGACTTTAATCGCACTTGAGATGGATGGAGGACAGAAAAAAATGGGCTGCCAACGTGACGGCTCGTTTCTGTCACATAGTTTTACGAATCATGCCTTAGTGCCGGGCTTAGGTCCTCTCCCGTAATTGTAATCTCATGTTTTTCTCTTTTCGCATTAAATTTTAATGCTTCCAAAAAGGGGGTTCCGAGCTCGAGCTCTGCGAACTTCTTCATGTGTTTCAATGGGACGACTTCAGCGGAGAGAGACGATCAAAGCATGCAGCTGTTTTGTGCCTTGAATTCTCTCAAAGAAACTCTCCAATCAATGCTTCTCCCACTTTGTGCTACCCATTCTGCTGCCGAGGTACCCATTGGCAGTTCCAGGAAGCAATTGCCGGTACTCAAGAGAAGTTGGCAGGATTCGCGCTGGAGACACCTAATTGAAGTGGGTCATAAACCTTAAGAAGCCTTGGAAAGCACTCGAGACATGGCTTTCTCTCATTGGAAGGTCTGAGCCTGACAATGAGACATGAACCACAAAAGTATTCAGCTGTGACAAGCCAGCATGAAGGTCGTATCACTGTTTTTGGACACGTCACGTGTACAGGGTGTTCACAAATTATTGAAGGGGCTTTAAAAATGTATATCTTGAAAGTTACATGGAATAAATTGATTGGGTATGCAGTAGGCGGTAGCTAAAACATAATACGTTTTTTATATATACGTTTGGTACATGCGCGACTGAGGTAGAGGAAGAGAGAGAGAGAGAGAGAAATCGAGAGAATAGTCGATCATCAGCCGATCGAGTTATGGCTACCGTGCAAGAAAAAGCTCAAGGCGTTTTGCAGTTCGCGAAATTGAAATTGGTGGTTCACATTCAACGCAAATTTAGACAAGTTTTCAAAGAGAATCTCAAGGTGGCATTTTAATTTGGAGGTAGTATAAGCATTTCCTAGAACTGGGAGTGTGCTACATAAGAAAGGAGGCCATAGGATTGGCCTTTTTTTCTTTGTGCTATAAAGAAAGAGGAGATGGTCCAATCCCATAGCCACCACAGTCACCAGACGTGAGCCCTCCAAACTTTTTTTTGTTGGGGTATGAGAAAGACGCCGTGTATAAGACGAAAGTAACAAGTTCGGATGTTTTACAAAAGAGGATAAGAGTTTCAATAATCAACCAGAAATGTTTGAGAAAACATGGACAGAGATTGAATATTGTGGGCAGAGCTGCAAACGGTGCCCACATTGAAGTTTACTAAGAGGAAGTTCAAGCAGTAAAAAACGTATTGTGTTCGGCTACTGTCTACTGCCGATCCGATCAATTTATTCCCAATAGTTTTCAAGATATATATTTGTAAACCCCCCTCAGTTGTTTATGAACACCCTGTTTTTCCGTGTCCTCTCATTCCTTCTCAGTCTCAGGAGGTCTGTAACACTGGGGCTGAGGCTAGAACTTGGCACTGACATGAAAGGGAAGGATGAAACAATCCTTTGTCCGGTCACCCATCCCCAATCATCGATTAGTGAGGCCTCAGGGGACAGGCTCCGAGCAAGCATGTCCCATTAAAAGCTCGTTTATCTTTTCTTTTGTATTCAGCCCACTCAACGCAATGTTTCCCGACGGACTGCAGCTACTGGGTCTTGATGATTCGGTAAAAAAGGGGAGCAATATACAGCATTGTTATGAAGAAACCATCCAATTTCGTTTAGTCATAACTTTGGAGGGACTGTCAGATGCTGTTGAAATTTCTTAGAGGTCCTACAAGGTTAGAGGATTTATGAGATTTGTTAGATGGATCTGCAAGGTTTTCTACCATGCCCATCAGATAACGGGGCTTTTATAAGGGGATGCTGTGGTCGCATATGAAAAAGACTGTGAATGATACACTTATTGGAAAAGATCAATCAACCGAATTCGATACCCGACCACTACAATGTAAATCTCCCACATTGCCAGTTTCTTCAAACTGGGCTAGTTTCGGACCTGTCTCTGGGTAACATGGTCCCGAAACGAGATTGTGTTCTGTCCGTATGGCTCGGAGGGATCGGGTTACAAGGTTTTCAAATCTGTTATAAGGCCGAACGAATGCGACACATTACAGCACTGTGAGCTTTGGTTTCTTGCCTCCAATAGTGTGCACGTCAGATGCACTCCTCTATTATGCCTATTCATGTTCTCCACTGTTTACTTTTGAATGTGCGACCACTGCGTCCCTATCGGCATGCACCACCATCTGGAAGGCATATTAGAAAACATTATAGGGCCGTCGACCTCTCTGTCACATTTATGCTGCATTCGACAGTCCCCTCCAAAGTTATGACCAAGCACATTTGAGCTGTTCCTTTGTAAAAACCAAGTGAATAAGAAGCTAGGGATTAGTAGATGATCATGCTTCCACCTAAGGCATTTATTTTTAGAGGGGTTGTCTCATGTTAGATGAGCTCTCGATTTCGGTTAGGAATGTAAATATCTCGTACGAAAGGAAGTCACATACAAATACAGACCCTGAACTTGGGCATGACTTCTAAATGGACAGGTTATACGACTTCCTATTGAAGCTCCTCTTGAGGAGTTCCGTTAGCGACTGTTTCCGCCACTAGTTGCCTTGCTTGCAGTTACTGGGAGAGGGTAGGGGATAGGGGTAGGGCTCCATCTCACCCTATAGCTGTCATGTTTTGTTCGCTGCGATTAAAACTGGGATGGATGAGCTTCGTTGCCCCAATCGAATATTCGTGATAGTCGGTAAAAGTATCAAAGAAAAATCAGACGGTTTTTCACTCTTGGAAAACAACTGGAGGCATGGAGATCGACTTCGAGGAAGAACAACATTTATTAAATTTTCCTAAAACGATATTTCAGAAAGTCTAAAAACACGTTATGAGAAGGGGAATCATTCGCATTGATTTTAGTGTACTGTGTTTTTGTTTGTTATTTAGTTTTTTTTTAAATCGTATTTTAGGATTATTTTAGCGCAGACATTGAAATATCGAGTGAATCAAGGTCTCCAGAAATAGGCTCACCTTCAATAAGCTCTTTTAGATCTGCGCAGATTCAGAGGACTGAATCTTCTTTCATGCATTTGAATTTAAATTTAAAACGCTGAGCTAGCTTGAAGAGGATACTAGCATTGTAAATATAGAGGGTCACTCAATAAGTTATCTACCTGAATAAGAAAGAAACATCCGAGGGGAAAAATAACACTTTATTTTTTAATGTAGTCACCTTTTAACTCAACATACTTATTCCACTTTGATTCCAAGGATTTAATTCCCTGGGAATAGAAGTCAACTTCTTGTCCATCAAACCAATCAGAAACGGCAACTTTCAGCTCTTCATTGCATGAAAATCTTTTTCCCAGCAAATATTTTTTCAAGTGTCTGAACAGAAAATAATCATTAGGAGCCAGATCCGGGCTGTAGGGAGGATGGTTGAGCTCCTGAAAGCCACACTCCCTCACTGCTGCCTGAACTTTCCATGATTTGTGGACGGGC